ATACGCATGCAATATTATATCGTAGCGGTGTCGCACGTGCGATACGCATGCGATATTATATCGCATCGGTGTCGCTGTCGTGTAAGTGTGCACAGTTTTCATCGCTTCCTACCAATTACCACGTACTCAGCATGTCGATGTCGCATCCATATCGTATCACATATCGCATCGCATATCGTATCGCACTAATGTGCACCGTGTCGTACGTTGGAAACTTTATTTCTGAATCATTTAGGTAGTTCACAAGGTGTTGTATACTGTCGTACTGTTGTATGTCATAAACTTTAAACGGCTAAAACTTTATTTAAGGAATTCGCAAGCTAACATACAAGTTTTATTATGAAATTTCACACAATAAAAAAATAGTTGGTGGTGATTTCAAGTCCTCTAAACATTTATTTAGCCGTTAAAAACTTTACAACATACAACAATACGACAAGTACGACACCTTGTGAACCACCCAATTAATTTTAAATAACTACCTCAATAAGTCTTTCGAGCTCAGCTTTATTAGCTAGTATACTACTAATATTAAGATAGACGCATTTCAAATTACTATGGTGCTGTTTAATCTTCTTATATAGACTGGGCACTCCCTACTAAATGCACTATGCTCTGTGTTTAATTGTAACCCTAAATGTTTATTAGCATCGCAGCAATTGCCACACACTGGTTTCGTAATTCTTTCAGTGCATTTTTCGGGTTTGTGTTCACCCATGCATTTACTGCATCGTAGTTTGCTTTTGCAATTATTAGCACAATGATTGAAGCCTAAGCACTTGTAACATCTTTTGACTATCTGTCCGTCATAAACTGGGCAGCGGTCCCAACCAATATTCCTCTTAGATTCTAGGACCTGCACAAAGACTTTATGCTCTACCTCGATTAATGCATTAAATTATGTTGAAGTCATGTTATTTCTTTTTGACTTAAATACTTTTAAGCATTTTAAGTTTGCATCAGCCAAGTACATAGTGATAGTGATAGTGATTTTATTTTGGTTATGACCTCTGTTTCAGTGTATTCAGCGTTTATACGGGTTATCAGTATTTTTGGCCTGTTCATTTTAGGTTCAGAGATCTCATATTGTTCCTTATCAAGATTATTAGCTAGAGTAGATTTAATTTTCTCTTTTTCAGTAACACTGTTGGCATTTATTACAACCGCCCCATTCTGCTTATTAGACACTTTGTCAATTTTTATGTTAGTGGCATCGATTTTATTAAGATCCACCCTAGTTTTCTCAGCCGCTTACTTATTTTTTGGCTTAATTATTATTGTAGGTACACCTTTTACTGCACTAGCATACAATGCACCCACACTACGCTGTGAGTTCTTATTACTCTGACATGCAGCTTTCTTAACTTCCGTAATAATGTCATCTTTTTGCTTGCATATCTAAATAGTTTATGCATCTACTCTTGAGATTTGATCTTTGTTGGTCTTGCACAGACGTTCTACCCTCTTTATTAGTTCTAATTTCTCTTGGTTAGTTTTTTGATGTTATCCATCAAACCTTTTATTTCTCTGTTATGTTCGTTTAGCATCTTTTCGATATCGCTTTTTTGCTCTATTATATTAATTTTGTTAGTCTCAGCTATGCTCATCATTTGTTTGCGAGCATCATCCACATTAGATATGTAAGTCATGCAGTCATCACACATGAAGCGCAAAAACTTACAATTTGCCAACTCTTGCAAACAGTAATCGTCGATTTGTGCACACGCAATTGTTTTGTGGTACATTCTCCCACACACACCAGCACAGCTCACACCGGTTTATCCTCTGATGCTCTCCCACTCACCTCTACTTTTTATTTGTTTATAGCAGCGAACGTTGGTAGAATTTTGTTATTTTTATTTATTTTAATAATATTAATAGGGTATATTTGTATACATCACTTTCGCAAAAATATTTAATAATTTTAAACCCTTGTACCAATATGTACGTAATTTAAACTCTCACTAATATGTGTCTTTTAACACTTTTCGACGAGCGATGAAAAAACACGTCCGTCGGCTTTGACGTTCATCACAATCATCGTCACCAAGACACTATAGCAAGTGTACAGTGCGAAGGTCACACTAGTCGCTATACATTGGTTGATCAAGGAACAATTCAACTTCAGCCGAGTTGTCATTTGTTTACAGAAGCAATAAACTTATGGTCACACTCCACCACCACTACTGAATTAGAATATAATATGCCGCCTCTTAACATAAGTACCCAATTACCGCCGATAAGGCAAATCACCTTAGCAGGCAAAATACTAACGTATACGATTCCGACTTCGAATTTCATCATACGGTATATTATTTTTCCAACTTAACTACCTGGAACATAGCAGCCGCAATCATAATATGCCTGATAATAGTCGCCAAGAAACTATGTGGAATGTCAACACGATTCATTCCCGCTGCTATTGCCTTTCGAAATTAGCACTTGCATAACTTTCGTTTATCACCATTGTGTTAATATGTATTTTTAAGTATACAAATTTAAATATTGAAAGACTTTTATTGAAGGTAAATACTTTCAACGTAGGCAATATATTTAGTTTCTTATCGGAAACCTAAACGAACAACAAAATTTGTTGCCACAAGTAGTTGTCGATAAGATAATATATACAACAAACCAGTGCATTGGTCCTTAGGGTATTCGGTTGTTTACATCTACCACATCTGCACATACCAAGAATAGCGATAAACACTGCATTCTCCCTTCTAACAGCATAATGGTTGATGCAACTATGCATTTATATATGGTTATCATATGTAATACTTGTGTAAATATGTATGTACATATATTGTACACATACAAGTAAAATCGCTTTTCACTTGAACATCTATTGTAAGTAATATGGCCCTTAATAAATAAGTATGTATACATTTTGAGTCTATTATTTGTGATATTGTTCAAGTGGATTGCACTGCCTTGGTCGAGCAAGCGATCGTGCATGCAGCCAACTAAGTGATAAGGGTTTGTTGTATTAGAGTTAAGTATATGTATATATGTATGTAGGATAAGTAGTAATTTATGTATTTAGAGTAAGAATTTATGTAATGTATAAATAAAGTTCTGGGAAACCAGAAGTGTCTATTGTGTGTAGTATTTAAAGTATAAACATACATTATGTATGTATGTATGTACAAATATAATTAATTTTCCCGAGTGACGATATGAAAATTATGCTACAATACACTCGATTACTACAATGCAATTTCGGAAATTCAAACCAAGATGAGGTTACCGTGTGTACAATACTTAGTTCGGGGCGATCTAGTACAAGAATATTCGAAAGAAATGAAATTAATTTACAATAGCAAATTGACATATATGAAACGTTATCGGGAAGAGTTGTAACTATTGCCCATGTCTTCAACAAGGAGCAATTAGCATATACATTTAAAAAGCATAATAAAGGTGTACAGACAAGCACGAACATTTTTCTTAATTCAGTAGCAGGTTTCTATTTAGTGAATGGCTGACTGTTCTTGAAATATAGAAGCATTTTATTTTTCGTATGGTTCACCTGCGACTTGTGGGCAAGCGCTAATAACGTTTTCAGTCGTTTACTCGAAATTATCCCCCTTATTCTGGAACCCGAATTTTCGTAATTCGTAATTCGTAGCTACCAGTTGTTTTTCGAAGATAGGTGAATGAAGGAAAACAAAGTGGAAAGGAATTAAAAAAAACACTCATCATGAGCTTGTTTATTGTAAAATTGGTTAATTTTACATATTTTAAGGAAAATTATGGATTCTGATGTTTTTGAAATTATAGTAGCAGAGTAAGCGGGCGCTATGGCAATGGATTCACAAAGGTATGCGGAGCTGTCGGGCATAGTAACCATGGGCGCATCTATGCCAGCTTCTGGTTGAATTGTTGAACCACAAGCCAGAACTCCTATGCCTGATGCTCTGGTTCTCAATCCAGTTAATGCAATAACAGCTTCTTCCAAGCCATTGAAAACATGCACTTTATTAGGTCCACCACCTGCTGCTCTTGCTTCTGCCTTCGGCCGCGCTTAGGGATTATAACGCTTACTAAGCAGAATTCTCCTTTCTGTGTTGCGGGGAAGAGGGGCTTCCGCATGTCAAATGTATACAACATTTCTTGTGCATATCACTCCGGCCGTCCACAGTATTTTTGCGCAGAACCCACGTCGAAATTTGCAAAAAGTGCAATGCAAACCGAGTTTATTAATAAGCTAGTGGTAGGAAATTTGAAACATTTATCTTAAATAAAATGTGAATCC